ATCAACAGTCTGCTCATTTATTGACTCTAAGTCGGACCAAAGTTCGCGGGGGTCGCTAGTTTATCATATATTTTATTAGTAGTGCGTGCAGCTATGATATGACCCATTTAATGGACATGGACATTAGCAATGTCAGTAGCACAGACAAGCCGCCGGCTACCGCCAAGTCTTCGCAGACCTCGTTTGAAGAAGAACTTGACATAGCGTTCGGGAAACACATTTTATAGTAAACATACTCTACTATAGCTATTTCTTTATAAGGATAGAACAACTAACGACCTGACGGCTCATAAAAACAATGGCATCAATGCCGCGCTCTTGTTTAAGAACTCGTTTCAAAACGCAGCATTTCTACGCGAAAATTGTGTCCCAAATACGATATAATAGAATTGAAAATGTCCTCTTTATAAATGAATAAAAAAAAGTTAGTCTATAAAATCGATTCACTTCAAAAATTTAAGTACAAATATTACAAGAGTAATTCCCTTTCGCGTTGTTAGGTGGGAGCTAGTGTATATAACGCATGGCGTATGGAACGCACTCACACAAGTCTTCGGCATCATTCGGAGACCACAATGAAGTACACGGTGAGTGTAGTGTGTCTACGTGAAAATATATATAGATACTTTATTTTTAATACGGAATTAAAACTAGCAAAATACGCGGAGAGTTCTTTTCTAAGCAATTTAATTAGTATCAAATTTGTTTTTCGTGTTTAGAAAAAAAAAATAGGCTTCAAATAAATTCAGTGAGTGTACGTTGTAATAAATAGTTGTTTAGCGTTAAATATTTGAATTAGTTGGATTATATGAAGAAAACGTGTCGTTCCATTTAAATTCCATTGGAAGTAAGTGTAAATAAAGCGCGTATTTAAAATGATATTAAAAAATATTTATGTCACAGAAAATTAAATGAATTCCTATCTAAATAAATAAGTTACTCACGGGTAGAAAAACTAGCTACACAGAATTATTATCAGAGTTTAGTACTTAATAAATAGATTTATAAAATAACTTATTATTAGAAAAAATCAATTGTATTCGCTGTTTTTTATGTAAATAACTAACTGCTTTATTCCGGTTTTTTAATTTGCATTTCCAAAATTTGTAATACTCATGTCGTAACAAGCAATATACATAATATATGTATATAATGTAACGCTCTAAAGACTCTCTCCGTTTCTGTAATAACGCATTTCCTAGCAATTAACAGGTACATTTTCACTTTTCTTATATTATGTGGTGTTTAGAAGAAAGTGAAAATGATTTAGAATTAAACGCATAGGAAGTGTTAAGATGTTATGAGTGAACGAATTTCCAACGAATGCATACTTTGAGTAATAATGAATAAGGTCGGTTCTTAGATTTTTCGGAGTCGTAGATAAATATAATTATAATAATTGAATATGCAATTTCGAAAAGGGCACATGTCGCATATTTTGTTCAAATAAGTTTTTTCATATACATGTACTTTTTTGGCTTACCTACACCCATTTTATAATAATTCCAGTAATTTTCAATTGCTAATTAACACTAAAATATATCTCAAAAGTTAATATTTTAAATTTTACACTGCTTTAGAAAATAATCAGTTTTTTTTCATTTCCTGAACATTTTACATTTTCAGAGATGTGCCCTTTTCGAAATTGCATATTCAATTATTTTTACAGTTTTTTTTTAAATTTAGTTTTTCGGATTATCATTTCCGACTCTTCGTTCGACTTTACAGTTTTCGTGGTCACAAACCACTGTGATAACTGTGTGTGTGGTTGAAATAATTTGTTAGCCGCTTCTAGTGTGAATTGCATTGATGTATTTTAAAGTTGTGTGAGTCTGGGAATTCGTTCTAGTTCCCTTATTATGATGACAATTGAAACTTTATACTAATAGTTTATTTTTGATCTTCATGCGCTTGTAAAAGCTTTCTCGAATATTTATTCTAGGCAATTAACTTTACATAACTACGCAGTTTGCTTGGTTTCTTCTGAGGGTGTTCAATTTGAAGGTTCGATTTATATCAGTTAACTCGATAATCTATTGTCTAAAATACATTCCTTTAACTATCTACTTTGATAGGGCGTTTTAAAGACCATATCTGAAGGGATGCAGTAATGGATTCCGTCTTTCCAAGTTTGTCCATCTACAGAGGGAACAGCTGTTTTACAATAGGTGATTTCGATTGTTATGATGTCTGTGGGCTGTGGATATAGGCCCTGATCAATATTTCTATAGTTTAAGCAAGTAAAGCCATCTATAATATTCCTAGCTTATATTTAACTTAGAAATAGAGATTTGTTTCTAGTAAAATTAGACCAATACGTTTTTAATAATAATTGTGATTTATTTATGACCATTTTGCGCAAAGCATCTATGTGATATTAGTACTGGCAAAGACCTCCCCTAAATGTCTCGACATTTTTAGGTTCATGGCTGATTAGTCCAAGTGAACAGGCAACACAAGCGATACGTATATCCAATCGTTAATATTGCTCAATAAGCAATTTCGCTTTCACACTCACCGATTGGGAAACATTGTGTTTTGAAAGTTTTATTTTTCCCGTTCGTGATACAAAATGTATGAATGTAGGTTTTTATGATTATTAAAATGTAGATCAGAATGATTTGGTATAAACTGTCCGCGTACAGAGTATACTTATGTGTTGCGCGCCAATTTAGCGTGCAATGAACATTCTAGAACGAAACTGCAAATGTCATAACTCATTTAGACAAGTTGGTGATTGAAACGTTGGGTGTGTAATAGTGATTTTCAATTTGATAACTAACTATAGTATGAATAGATTGGGTTGCAATAAAAAATTTGTTTTGTTTGATATTCTTAAGCGACAGTTTCACATCTCATTCATGTATTCGGAGACTGTCTACTAAAGCTCCTTAATTTAATATTAAATGTATAATGTGAATAGCTATACCCTCTGTTTTGGTTTATCGAATACATTACTAAATAATTATCATTATAACGCAGAGCCGAAAATAATATAAAAAATTTCAAAATAACAAAATAAAAAAACATTAAAAACAAAATAATCTATAAAGTCAACAAAAAACAGTAAGAAAATATATATAATTGAATTCGGATTCTCTATTTCGCAAATTATGATTTTACATCTATACTAATATTATAAAGCTGTAGAGTTTGTTTGTTTGAACGCGCTAATCTCAGGAACTACTGGTCCGATTGGAAAATTTCTTTCATTGTTAGATAGCCCATTTATTGAGGAAGGCTATATAACATCACGCTAAGACCAATACAAGCGGAGTACCAATAAATAATGTTTCAAAATCGGGGTTTTTTTACTTATTGAGAGCTTCCGCGGCGTGCGCTGCAGAAACGATTAAAGTTTCGTTAAAATAAAGTATGACAGAATTGTTCCCCTTTAAAAGATCTAAAAAGAAGTCCGCGATAGCATATGTCTATTTGTTAAGGTTGGCTCACTATAACGTTTTTTATGCTAACCAAATTTCGAAGTCGAAGAAGACGAAGTCGCGGGCAAAAGCTAGTTAATTATAATGTCTCAAGGTGCATGACACCATTGACGTTGTAATTTCTATGACCTCCATTTAACAACAAGTGGGCCGTGAGCTTATTCACCCAATACAATAACAATAAAATCGAAGTGCAAATTTTAAAAGCCAGAGAATTAATTTCGTGAAATTGTGAGCTGGAATATTAAAAATAATTAGATGTGTTTATTGCCATTGAATTACGTCAAACCGACGCATATTAATTATCCGATCGATTTGTTATAATTTGCGATGCACGCGCAACTGTTGTGCGATACTTTAATTGACCATACGTAACGCATCAAGAGAGCTTGTAGCATCGCGCTTCGTAACACGACTTACCTAATTATAAGCGGCTATGATACATTTTTTGTTTATGGTTGGCAGTATTCTCTTCGTATAAATAATCTATCTTCGCGGTATAGGCTCGCGTTTTATTATTATTATTTTTTTATTATTTACAGCGCATCGAATGATATACAGTTTTCGTGGACTGAATACAGTTAAATTTGTACTACAAACTGAGTACCAAGAAAACTGTATAATTAATTGGTTTTAATAGAAAAGTAGTTTTGATTGCTTTGTAGTCTTGTTATTGGGTTTTTAATGTCTTTATGTTATTGCAATATAATTATTCTTAGTCGGATGATTACACAAAACAAAATGGAAATCGCATGCTTATTAAACCAAAGGTGATCATTTATGAAAATTAAAATTTATATTTCTGGTTGTTTACGATCGAATACTTTTAAAATGTTTATTCGTATTTTGATTCGAGTTTTTTTTTAAATTAGATTAATCGTGTTTTTGTGTAAATTGAATATAAATTTATAATCACATATTTATTAATTTTCCGAGTCACAGACTTAGAACGAGGCTAGAGGTTTTGAAGTGCTCGACAAGGAATCTATCGTATTATTAATGTGCTTAGTGCGAGTATTTTAACGTTCTCGAGAGCGTAAAAGTTAACATAACTTTGTATGGAGTTGGAATGTTTGCCTATGTTAGCCGTCAGAGGCGCTGTTCCAACTCCATACAAATCTGAGTTAACTTTTACGCGATCGAAAACGTTAAAAAACTCCCACTAAGCACGCAGTTCTGTTTCCTCACTGTCTACTCGTGTGTCACGTTAATGTTGGTTTCCGATCCGGTGGTAGATTCTGCGAAGCACTGCTCTTGCTAGGGTCAGTGTTAGCAACACTCTGGTTTGAGCCCCGTGATCTCACCTACACGTTAGGGTGGAGCTGAAATATCCTCTCAAGGCTATCAGCATAGATAGGAAAAAAAAATCAATTTTTGTTTACCTATCCTTAATATACTATAGTAATTTATTGTACTGTTACTTTTAAACTAACAAATAAAGATCGAGTGATAACCGCGAGCCGCGGTAACCGGTTATGAAACAGTTATTAGTCCGTCTCGGTAAAGACGAGTTCTTAATACGTATTACCGGTATTAACGATGCGTGCGATTGAATGATTCGTGCATTAGGTCCGCTTACATGCGGACAGACTCATGTAATCTTTGTGTTACGCAAATTCAGTGAACAGTGTAAGTGAATTCTCAAGATTCCCGAGAAAGACTCATACTTCTGCATGGTAATCTTATTATTTTTGTGCTCTGCTCTCGACATCGCCCAAAACACGTCATTTCGGATCCTCCCGATCCACTAACGGTGCTTTTAGGTACCTCAAGCACCGGTCATCGTCCTCGTCGCATCCGTCGCTTGCGACGAAGGGCTCGACGCTTTATTAACCCACAGACACAGCCCACTGAGTTTCTCGCCGGATCTTCTCAGTGGGTCGCGTTTCGGATCCGGTGGTAGATTCTACGAAGCACGGCTCTTGCTAGGGTTCGTGTTAGCAACGTTGTCAGGTTTGAGCCCAGTGAGCTCACCTACTAGTTAAGGTTACGCTGAAACAGCCTCTCAAGTTTATCAGCATAGGTAGGAAAAAAAAAAGCTCTGCTCCCACTATCTGGGATTAGCATGTCCTCTTTTTCCATTCAAGCCTATCATACGTCGTGCACTCACAGCGTTCTCACTCATATCCTTTTTAACTCAGACCATCCAAGTAGTTTGTGGACAAATTTTGAATGTTAATATCGAGAGGTGAAATGTAATTTGTTTTAAGCGACATTTCAGTAAATACGCGACATTTATCTTTGTAATTAAACGTGCGTTTGATTTGGTGTTAGCATCAACAATTCGATGTTTTTAATTGAACTTCAGTTAAGTTTACTTCATTCGAATATAGCTGAAGAAGCTTATTGTTCTGATATTTTTTCCAAATTTTAACCTTTAAATGGCACTTCTGTAAAGTTGTAAAAATGTCGCTTCGACCAAAATAGCCTATCACCGCTCGATATTACTATATAAAAAAAAAACACTTTTACACATCGTGAATACGGAAATAATTTAGCGATAGTGTAATTATTATTATTATTAATGTTACGAGTTCATAAGCGTATGTATTTCAAAACAGTGAAACGAATCATGAGAAGACTTTTTGGGCCGACAGCCCACGGAACGCGCTTCCCAAAATGGCAATTTTGCAAAATCATCAATAAAGAGTTTCTAATCGTAATCAGTCCAAACGGCCATTTTGTTTGTTTACACAATATACAGTACGACCGACGTAACTTGGCGAGTCTGAATATAGCCGCAGGTCAACTTTCGCGCATGTACACTTGTAAAAAAAAGTGTTATTAGCATTCATTTTTTTAAATCAAAATACGAATTAAAATTTCCATATACAGGGACAAAGTACAAATAAAATGAATATGAAAACACTATGAGAGAGAAAGCTATAAAAATAACGTAATAAATTAAAGAGAGGTAATAAAAGAATAATAAATTAAGACAGAAAGCGGTAAAAATAACGTAATTAAATTAATTCGAAAGTAAGCCCGAACACTGCCTTCAGTTGCGATCCGCTGTACTGTGCGTTGCGATACACCAGATCGTTAGCAACTCTAAATAAAACTGTCAACATCTTTTACGCCTTCTTCTTTTTCTTTTTAAAAAAAAAACAAAAATTATGTTTGTCGGCCGTCGATTTAAAACACTATTATGCTTTGATGGCATCTTTGTTAACGAATAGTATAAATACCAAGGGACACTCAATACTAAAACAAATTTAAACACAAACAATCTTAAAACTAAACAAAAAACTGAGCACTAAACAAAAACAGTATAATAATAACAAATCAATGAAAACTTTTGTAGCCGCCCGTACTCAAGACAGAGATAGCGACACGAACACGACACTAATGCTAGCGTGTGAGTGAGACACATTACCGCATACTGAGAATTACCGAATTTATACGATGTCAAGAAAAGGGATGTCCAATATGCGTGTTTGAGGATGTTGTTTAATCGATTTTTTTTCAAATTGATTAAAATTTATATAAAAATATATATTTATATTCCATTTTATAGGAGGTTTAAAATATTCACGAACAGTCCCTATTGTAGTAGTTGTTGATAAATAACTGATATTCAACTAAATCATGTCTTTCAACCAAGAAAATAAAGTGTTATTAGTTTTTTTTTTATTAAAGATGAAGTCTCGTTTACTAACGACAACATTCAATATGTTTGTAAATCTATTTCATTCATTATCTCATATAAACAAAAATCAATAAATTCCAAACCGATAAAAATCGATTGCGATATTTGATTGAATAAAGGGACGATTGTGTTTACATAGAGTCAATCCCTAGCCTAGACCTCCGCCCCGCGCACGTTGCTCATACCACCATTTGGTTCCTAAAAACGGTTGTGCGCAGCCTTCTGCGCGAAGTTCGGACTCGCCAAGTTACGTCGGTCGTATTGTACGTGTGAATATTTAAAAGAGGTTACATAAAGCCTATTAATTCATTTTTGTTTTTTTTTTTCATTCTATTTTATTGCTTAAATGTGTGTTCCGATCCGCGTTTCCGATCCGGTGGTAGATTCTGCGAAGCACGGCTCTTGTTAGGATTCGTGTTAGCAACGTCGTCAGGCTTGAGCCCGTGAGCTCACCTACTAGTTAAGGTTACGCTGAAATAGTCTCTCAAGGCTACCAGCTTAGGTAGGAAAAAAAAGTTAATTGTGGGCGTCGATTTCCGTTGTCTCTTGTCTATGGAACCCAGCCGTGAGTTCAATGTCAATAAAAATAAACTCCTATACGGTTTAAGGTTCGTATTAATTCTCGATTTCGCTATGGTGGATTAATTGCTGCACTTTCACTGCTCACGATTGCTAAGTCACACAGACTTCACGTAAGAATGCACATTCGGGACAAACGTTTAAAAGAATGACTCATTTTAATTAATTAGTTAATTACGACATTACTGAGCGCGGTATGGAACGCTGTCAATTTTGTATTTTTTTTTTCTCCCATTTCTTGGCCTGCACGGTTTGTACATCAGCCATGCAAAAAGGTTAAGAAGTCTGTTATTGGATTTATTTTTTTGGATTGGAAATTGGAACGGAGTTTAGAGAATGGATCAGGTAAATTTAGTTTAAAAGTAGGTACATAAATGGTTACAATTTTATATTGTTATGAAAAATGAAACTAGCTAAAATTCTATACACATCAATATTGATATCAGACAATTTTGTATTATGAGAAAGGTAATTTAAAATTCGCTTTTGTATTATGACATTCAATTATAGTAAAATATTTTTTATATATAAGAAAAGGTTAGGTTTTAAATTACATACACTTACATTTACATTTACTTAGACAAACTCAATTTTTTTCTTTATGCCTCAATAAATAAGTCCAATCTAAAATACACCTAATTTGTATGATGTTAAATAACTTTATTCAAATATAGTCTGCTGTTGATGACTATTATATACATATTGACACATTTAAGTTATTTAACGCCTTAGGCATTCTCGACCGGTCGACCAAAATATTGATGTCGTTCTACGAATAATCTCTCCTTATGTAACAACAAATCTGCATGCTCTAAAATTCATTTAGGCTTATAATTTCGTAACGCAACGTCGTTTCTTTAAATACAATCCAATAAATATTTCCTGTTTAGAAATTTATTTATGAAACCTTAAAAATTTGTAAGAATATTCAAATGTTTTACGTAATAAACGAAATAGACTTGATTTACTTAAATATGTTTAAGCGCATTTTGAATATAAGTTTTTGCGCAAACGCAATACGCATTTAATGCAATTACGTAAAACTATTACGAATGCAATTAAAAAAATAAATACGAAAAACAATTCCGGATATGTAATTAAAAGAACAGTTGAACCTTCGCATTGTTGTTTTGTAAGGCTGTCGAAATTTTTGCAAAACACTAATTGGACGCACGCGTATTAAGCATAAGAGAGAGAGCATAATTCGAGTAACCAGGAAGCTTGCGTTANGCATTTAATGCAATTACGTAAAACTATTACGAATGCAATTAAAAAAATAAATACGAAAAACAATTCCGGATATGTAATTAAAAGAACAGTTGAACCTTCGCATTGTTGTTTTGTAAGGCTGTCGAAATTTTTGCAAAACACTAATTGGACGCACGCGTATTAAGCATAAGAGAGAGAGCATAATTCGAGTAACCAGGAAGCTTGCGTTAAACAACATGCCGCAATAGTTTTCAAACAATAGCCAACAAGAATTTCTCGCGAACGCCAATAAAATAAAAGGGGAAAGTATCTTAGTATGCCGAGAGGCGAACTAGATCACTTTTACTGCTACACACGAGTATTTATTATTCAATAAGCGTTAATCTAAATCTACGGATCAATTGTTTTGTTTCCGTTACTCATTCGAAATTTCTATTATTGAATGAACATTCTAGAAATCGTTTAACGACCTTACCTTCTGTTTTATTTTCAGGTTATTTTGGTGGCATCGTTGGCCGTGGTTGCCTTTGCCAAGGAGGAGAAAGGCACACCGAAGGCAGTCGAAGAGAAGAAACAAGACAAAAGGGGCATCTATGACATAGGATCTTATGGAGGACATAATTTCGGAGGTAGCGATGAAGGCTACGGCGGTCATGAAAGCTATGGAGGGCACGAAGGTATCAGCTTCGGTCACCAAGAAGGACACGACTTCGGAGGCGAAAGCTACAACTTAGGTGGACATGGAGGCGGCGAGTACGGCAGCAGCGGCGGCGACTGGAAGCCAATTGCCAGCGAAGGCGACTACCACCACGGTCATCATGAACACCACGAGCACATCAAAACTGTTGAGGTGGTAAAGAAGGTGCCTGTTCCGTATACAGTCGAGAAACACGTCCCCTATACCGTCGAGAAGAAAGTACCCTATGAGGTGAAAGTGCCCGTACCTCAGCCCTACACCGTTGAAAAGAAAGTTCCCTTTACCGTCAAGGAATACGTCAAATACCCAGTATACGTACCTGAGCCCTACACCGTTGAAAAGAAAGTACCTTATGAAGTCAAGGTCCACGTTGACAAGCCTTACGAAGTCAAAGTCAAAGTGCCCACTCCCTACACCGTTGAGAAGAAAATCCCTTACGAAGTAAAAGTGCCCGTTCCCCAGCCCTACACTGTCGAGAAAAAGGTCCCAGTTCCAGTGAAATACGAAGTTAAGGTGCCCCAACCATACGAAGTCATTAAGAAAGTGCCTTATGAAGTCAAAGTACCCGTCGACAGGCCCTACAATGTATACGTGCCTAAACCTTACCCCGTCCATGTTGAAAAGCCCTACCCAGTGACCGTACACAAGCCAGTGCCCTACGAAGTTAAGGTCCCCGTTGACAAGCCCTACAAGGTCGAAGTAGAGAAGCCCTACCCGGTCCCCGTTAAAGTGCCAGTACCAAAACCTTACGAAGTCATCAAGAAAATCCCTTACACCGTCGAGAAGAAAGTGCCTTATGAAGTCAAAGTGCCTATTGACAAGCCCTACCCGGTCTACAAGGAAGTTCAAGTGCCGCTCGTCAAAGAAGTACCTTACCCGGTCAAGTACCACGTCCCTATCTACTTCAAGAAAGAGGAGGAACACCACCAACACCACCAACACCACGGATGGCATTGAGATTTATTAAATCCGTTAGCTCACACCAGTACCTTGTAGGTTAAGTCGAATAAAATAAAAAAAATGTGATTTTTTTAGTATTTTTAGTGTTTATTATCGAAATTTGATCGATCACGATTTTACGGTTGTGTTCTGTGTATTAATTGGTTGTTGTGAGCATTATTTAATGCGAAGTTTTCTCTGGTATACAGATCTCGGGAGTTCGTTTCCGAGACGCGAAGTTGTGTAGTTGTAATCTGTTATTACTTTGTTAGCTTTTACATGCTTGTTATTAATACGTATTAGAAGTACACGTTACTTTATTGAGGCTGATTCGAATAAAACAACGTGAAACGATGTTTTAGCCTTTTATTTATTTCTGTCTCAATCTATAAATCAAAAATAATCCGTCCGATAGAGGACATATTAAAGGAAAAACAAAATTGTTTGTTTTTATATAATTCCGAGAATTTTCATATTCATATCTACCTTTTAAACCTTCCCTGGACTTCCACGAATAATTCGAGACCAAAATTAGCCAATCGGTCCAGCCGTTCTCGAGTTTTAGCGAGACTAACGAACAGCAATTCATTTTTATATATCGACGTTTGAAAGGCAAACGTGACTAAGCGACAATAACTGCTTTGTACATAAATGATAGGCAATAACCATATTCGATGCGCAAAAAAAATATATTTCTAGGTCTATTAAAATAATTTCAATCTTACAGCTAGATTCGTTAAAATAGAATTTTTTTCAGGTATTTCAACTTTAAATTAGTCTACTGTAAAGTTCACGCAATATCGCTTAGTCATGTTTGCCTTTCAAGCGTCGATATATTTTATAGAAGATTAACGTTTATGTTAAACGCATTACTTTTTTTGTGCTACCGATTCGCATGGTGGCCTAAGAGCTAGCTACGCGTGGATGGGTTGGTGAGGGCTCAACCTGAGAGAATTGGCTAACATTAGCCCTAGCAAGAGCATTGATTCGCCCTGTATCGGAATCGTGACATACTGAAAAGATCCGGCGAGAATCTTAATGGGTTTAAATTTACTATATAAGTACAGAGTCAGTTATTTGGGAATCTACGCACCCCCTATAGCTTGTATATCAAATGTAATATTGATTTTACATAAGATTTGAAACTAAAGTATTCCGTGCAATTTTACGTTTTGGCGGGCTTTCTGTGCCACAGATTATAGCAATAGTGTAATGTATCGTGTCGAATGACGGTAGTACATACCTACTAACCTACAATCCGATATACTTGTATAAACATTTATAATTTTATTGCCACGAAGGCAGACACACACGGCTCATGTGATGGTGAGTCACTAATGCTCTTGGGCATTATAGTCAACTAGTCAACTAGTCAACTAGTCAACTAGGTTGTAGAAGAACATACGTATTTTATTTTTAGATAAAAAAAACTGAATACGCAATATTTATTAATATTCATAAAATCATACATAATTCATAATAAATTACAAAGTTTAATTATATTGCTACTGCTAATGTCAATACAACGTTAACAAGGCTAATAAATTTAAAAATTAAGTAAATTATTGCATTGAAATATTTACTAAGGCGCCTCATCTTGACTTTCACCAAAATGTAGTTCATCAGAGCGAAACAAATACAAATATAATCAGTGTGTGTTATGTTATGTGGTGTTGCAATTACAGACAGATATACAATTTTTTTAACTTAGAAGTCAAATGAAGGAAGCAATCTGCTTCATGCAATGTCTTTTTATTTTTTATTGCTTAGATGTGTGGACGAGCTCACAGCCTACCTGGTGTTAAGTGGTTACCGGAGCCCATAGACATCTACAACGTAAATGCGCCACTCACCTTGAGATATACCGATAACCTACCCGTCCGGACTCATAAGAGGTCCTACCACCAGTGAACTGCAACGCGAAAGAAGCCATCCAGCACGACAAATGAGGTCTGACCTCAATTTCATCTCAGGACTCAGGAGTCTTAATTACATTTTGTGTACCGGTCGTCTCTTCAAACGAGAGCGCATGGTTGCTCGCGGCAGAAATAGTTGAGTATTTTACAATCTATCTTCTATCTATAATATATAAAAATGAATTGCTGTTCGTTAGTCTCGCTAAAACTCGAGAACGGCTGGACCGATTTGGCTAATTTTGGTCTTGAATTATTTGTGGAAGTCCAGGGAAGGCTTAAAAGGTAGATATGAATATGAAAATCCTCGGAATTATATAAAGATTACAATTTTGTTTTCCCTTTGATGTGTCCCCCGTCGGACGGATTCCTTTTGTTTGTTTTAAGTTTATTTTACACAAAAGTTTAGGTCTTTTATTTATCGATTGAGGCACTACGAAAACTCCCGGGTCAGCTAGTAGACAATAAAACGTATCCAGTTTCAAGTGATTATTGTCGAAGAGTAGTTTTTTTCTTTTTTTTATTGCTTAGATGTGTGGACGAGCTCACAGCCTACCTGGTGTTAAGTGGTTACTGGAGCCCATAGACATCTACAACGTAAATGCGCCACACACCTTGAGATATAGTTCTAAGGTCTCAGTATTGTCACAACGGCTGCCCCACCCTTCAAACCGAAACGCATTACTGCTTCACGGCAGAAATAGGCGGGGTGGTGGTACCTACCCGTGCGGATCACAAGAGGTCCTACCACCAGTATATCCGAATGTCGAGCGAGGTCATCGCAAATTCTAAAATAGCCTTTTCGTACAAACAAACGATTTCAGTCCAGAGGACGCATTGTGAAATGCGTCTGTTAAATTATTTTAATGTTTTCCGTTTATTATAATGTGTTCAGAGATTTTTATCAGTCTGATTGCGTTTCACAGTGGCCTGGTTTACGCGAAGCGATTTTTGTTTTTGTATATACATACATAAATAATACATACATATACTTAGTCTGGCCATAAATACTGTAACAAATAAAAATAAGCAAAATATTACATTTGAATTTGGAATCTGTCATTTTTATATGATTGCTCGTTGAGTTTTTTCATTTTGGCGCCAATACATTGTACAATATTTTGCGATATTAAAATGGAGCGGGGTGATAAAGAGAACCGAATCGCTGTGATTGCATTACACAAAGTAGGTATGGAGCCAAATGCAATTTTTAAAACTCTCCATACGCTTGGTATTAGTAAAATGTTTATGTACCGGGCTATTAATAGGTGGAATGAGACATCCTCTGTTTGTGACAGAAAAAGATCTGGCCGTCCACGTAGTGTTCGTACGAAAAAGGTGGTCAAAGCAGTAAGGGAAAGAAAGGACTGTATTGCGGCCAATGGAGACCACTTCGAATAAGCTTTTTATACTTTAAGTTGTTTTATATTTACGTATTAAACTAACACACTGTAAAAGTAATAAATGTTATTTGCAATAGATTTTTTTTTCCTTTCTAACAGTGTTTATGGCCAGACTAAGCATATTAAGGTGTTTATTAATCTATATATATAAAAATGAAACCCGTTTTCCGTTGTCACGACATAACATGAAAACGGCTTGACCGATTTGGCTAATTTTGGTCTTGAATTATTTGTGGAAGTCCAGAGAAGGTTTAAAACGTATAAAAATATGAAAATTCTCGGAATTAAATAAAAATAACAATTTTGTTTTCCCGTTGACGTGTCCCCCGTCGGACGGATTCCTTTTGTTTGTTTTAAGTTTATCTTAAACAAAAGTTTAGGTCTTTTATTTATCGTTTGAGGCACTACGAAGTCTGCCGGGTCAGCTAGTTTTATTATAAATACTCTATTATTGAGTCCCTCTAGAGACTATTGACTCGGCATAGGCATCTGTGTATACTTATTAATGAAACCGGGTCACGTTTCTCAGTGGTCATCGTCGGTTGTATAATAATGTATTAGATCAGATCGTCGAACGTACTTCAGACCTTAACCCGCTGTTTGTGTTTATCGTGTGCTTAGTAGGAGTTTTTTAACGTTCTCGAAAGCGTAAAGGTTAACTCAGATTTGTATGGAGTTGGAACGTTTGCGTACGTTTACCGCTAGGGGCGCTGTTCCAACTGCATACAAATTAGAGTTAACTTTTACGCTATCGAGAACGTTAAAAAATTCGCACTAAGCACACTGGTGTCCGAAAGCGTAAAATAATTCGAAACATTGAAGCAATGCTTCGCATTTCGAAGTGGGATGATGGTAAAGCATATTTATGAGCCGCTTTCACAGTACATCAGGAGAGTAACGTTTTAAGTCGGGCGGTGGATTTTTCCTTTAGCCTTAAGAGGCTATTTCAACTTCTCCTTGACGTGTAGGTGAGCTCACGGGGCTCAAACCGGGAGTGTTGCTAACAAATCAAATCAAATCAAATCAAAAATTTTTTATTCAACATAAATGAAAGTACATACTTGTTGAACGTCAAAAGAACTACCGCCAATTCACAAGAACTAGCCTCCGTCCTGAGAAGAATTGGCAAGAAACTCAGCGGCCATGTCTTTTTTTTTTTTTTTAAATATGAATTTTTTACAATGAATATTATAACGTAACAATTACTACGATATTGAAATGCCCGGAGCGAGCAACTCATTCCCACTTTGTGCAATCTTCTAGATAATCATTGACTTTATAGTAAGCTTTATTGCACAGATGTTCTTTAATAGTTTTCTTAAACCTATGTATATGTAGGTTCTGAACATCTTGTGGGATTTTGTTGTACAGACGCACAGACAAACACCCGAATGAGTTTCGTATCTTATGTAACCTACTCATCGGCACAACAAGCTTGTGTTTGTTCCTATTATGTATGTCCGACTTTTTAGGAAACTCCTCAATATGTTTACGAACATAGATCAAATTTTCAAAAATGTACTGGGATGGCATAGTGAGAACTTTAATTTCTTTAAATTTCTCCCTCAGGGATTCTCTTGAGTGCATGTTATAAATAGCACGTATAGCTCTTTTAACACTGGCCCTAGCAAGAGCAGTGCTTCGCAGAATCTACCACCGGATCGGAAACGCGACCCACTGAGAAGATCCGGCGAGAAACTCAGTGGGCTGTGTCTGTGGGTTAATTCACTCGTCGAGCCCTTCGTTACAAGCGACGGGTTCGGACGAGGACGGTGACCGGAAGGGTCGTCTAAGGGCCTATTCCAGCTACGCGCGGACGGATAGGTGAGCTCACGGGCTCAACCTGAGAGGATTTGCTATAAATAGCGCAGTGCTTCGCAGAATCTACCACCGGATAGGGCGGCATTTACCGGCTATGTTTTAAAATGATGACGTCAGCGACTTATGTGTTGTGCGTCAATAGTCACTCGCATTTATAGTAGAACAGTGGGGTTAGTTTGTTCATTAATTCTCCTGAACACCGTCATAAGCA